CCAGTGCATTTTATGGGGGCCTCTCAATGCATGTCCAAACGCGTGCAGCGTGGCTGGGGGCTCCAGAGTCATCCTGAGCCACTGTGGCATTGGCACAGTCAATGTGGGTCAGGGTGGAGGGTGGAGGCAAGCACCCCCTTCTCTCCACACCCATGCTTCTGAGATTTCCAATTCAGGCAGTTGCCAAATGGGTCAAAAAAAAGAAAGTATTAGCAGCTAACATTTATTGCTCTTCACATGTCATCCCAAATAATCTTCGTAACAGCCACATCAATATGGTGCCACCATTGTCCATATCTTACCTATGAGGGAACTGAGAGAGGCAGTTAACTTGCTTAAGGTAACTTGCTTAAGGTCACATAAGTGACCTTGCAGGTAACTTGCTTAAGGTCACATAAGTGCTGGAGCTGGCATGCCAATTTCAGAATGCACAGAATCCAGAATCTGACAGAATCAGGAATCTGGCATGGAAAAGAGCACATCAATAATTACTTATCAGCATTCCTTGATTTTCTAGAGGTCTTGTGGAATTGATGGTTATCTCTTGGCCTTCCACAAAATTCATTTCTCCCACTGACACCTGGAGTGGCTGTATTTAGGGTCACTGCATCACCTTGTGGTCATGATGGGAACTGCACCTCCCCAAAGTCAAGAGTCCTGGCTCACACATCTGGGGTTTTCTCTGAGCTTGGAAGTTCTGTCAGTCCGTCTTGAAATCCCAGAGGAAAGATTCTGCTAGAACTGGGATTGACACAGTTGTCCAGCGACCTCCAAAGTTGGGAGAGAGAAGGCTTTCATGTCCCTTCTCACATTCTCACCTGCTTTGGCCGCAGGTTCTCCTAAGAGCGATGGATGCTTCATGCAGGAAGTGAGCCCTCCAGCAGACAGTCTGGAGTTCCTGTCTCGGCTCTCAATTTCTTTCTGAACCTTCTGCACTCTGCTCCCTCCTGCCATCATGTAGTGTTGGCTGTAGCTGTGTCTGATTAGTTTCCCTCCACGTTACTCTCCTCTGTGGGCAGAGAGACACGTGGATTCTTTGAATCAACTTGCCTGAGGAAAGTTTCCTCTTTGCTCCTTCAGCTACGCTGATCTTATCTCTGCCACATGATCAGTTACACAACCCTGGACAATTCACATAATCTCAGTGACCCTCTTCTGCAAAATGGGGATAGGAATATGGATTTTGGTGATGATTAAATGAAAGGCTGCATTTAAAAGCATTTGGTAAACTGTAACTAAATATGTAAATATAGCGATTATCAGCAAATCTTCCTTCCTCACTACTGATAGTAAGAGATAATGTCTCCTCTATGCAATGCGCCTCACATTCTCATCTTTACGTAAGTGGAGCATGGATCTCCGTAAGAGGTTGGAGTGGGTGTCTGTGTGTGTATGTCTGGGGGAGGCAGGAGAAGAGATATGATAGCTTCCACAAGGAGGAGGAAGATCAGGATCATTGCTTCATAGTCAGACACAGGCAAGGCCCCTCCTCCGTGGCTCAGAGGTCCTAAACTGTCTATTAAAATGTTGCCACATTCCAGTACTTATGATCACATTTAATCTTCATGATTGTGCTGAGAGAGATGTAATAATACCTGTTTGCCTGTTTTAAAGATGAAGAAGCTGATGATCAGAGAGGTGAAATGATTTTCTGAGGTTCTCAGGACAGCAGAGATGAGTCAAGAATGTGGAGTTTTTTGTTTTTTTTTTTTTTGAGACAGAGTCTCACTGTGTTGCCCGGGCTAGAGTGCCGTGGCATCATCCTAGCTCACAGCAACCTCAAACTCCTGGGCTCAAGCAATCCTTCTCCCTCAGCCTCCCGAGTAGCTGGGACTACAGGTATGCACCACCATGCCCGGCTAATTTTTTCTATATATTTTTAGTTGTCCGATTAATTTCTTTCTATTTTTAGTAGAGACGGGGTCTCGCTCTTGCTCAGGCTGGTTTCGAACTCCTGAGCTCAAACAATCCGCCCGCCTCGGCCTCCCAGAGTGCTAGGATTACAGGCGTAAGCCACCGCGCCCGGCTGAATGTGGAGTTTTTGATTTCCAATCAGGGCACCTTAATTTACCATATGTCTTATTATCTCTCTATGACATAGAATAGAAGCTTCCAAGCTTTTTTGATGATGAGCCACAGTAAGAAATACATTTTTCACACTACACACTCACTCATAAGTATACAACTGAAACAAAAACATCAAGGAACAGTACTTTACCCTTATCATGTACAATGCACTTCATTCTGTCCTATTAATTAAAGAGTGCTGTTTACAACTCATTAAATTCATTCACAACCCACTAGTGGATTGAGCCTTAACAGTTTGGAAAACATTGATCTAGAAGGTTCTCTAACAATCCCCACAGAACATGTGACCATCACAATCGCTCATGGTTTCAAATGGATATTATGAATTTAAGGGAATGGAGAGGAAAATAATGAACTCAGGAAGTTCTACCAACTGGAACATAGTGTCTGGTTTAAGCAAATTAACTCTTAGAAATATTCTGAAACATGATTTTTAAAGAACTCTAAAATAAGTGTATTTTGGTTACTGTGTTCTACCACATCATGGACACAGCACTTGTCACTCAGGATTATCACTGCCTCTGTACACATCAGTCTCCACCCACCCCACTTGCTACGCCTTAAAGGAAGGAGCTATACCGTATTCTTAGGGCAATAAGCATTTTGCCTGATGCTCAGTAAATATTGATTCACTTATTAATAATAAATAAAAACTGATTAGCAACAGTCTCACTTTCTTGTTATTTTCACTATTCAAAGTAACTTTAAGTTCAAAAGACCAAGGCAACAACTTGGTCTGTGTACAAATCACGCACTAAAAATTAGGAGCCATGAGCTTCACCCTACTGGTATCACCCTTGGGAAGTCCAGAGCCTGAACCAAAGAGAAGTCATAAAGAAGGAAGGATAAACACAGTTCTTATGCATTCATTCATTCCTACTATCCAGCTCTTGTGGAGTAGAACTGTGCCCTTCAAATAAATGCCACTTCTTTTCCTTTGGTGACTAGCCTATCTCCTAATTTAGTTAAAGCCTGTGGACCTTTAATGAGGCTGACTAATGCAACCTAATTGTAATGTAAGAGTGTGATTGTGGGCTCAGCCGCTACATTAAAAATGCAGGGTTGTGACAGGTTTTCAGCAATGTACCTTAAAAACACTGGGGCTGCCTGTGATGTGAGTCCTTGCCACAACACTGGGCCATGCTTGGTGAGAATCAGGACTACGCATTCAGATAACCCCAGAGAGAAAGTCTCTGCAGCCTGAAGCAACAGGATAAGACTTCAGGTCCACGCTGCTGTCCCGCCTGCAGGTGCCCACAGATACAAGTGCCAACCTCTCTCCCTGATTGGGCTGCATCCCCGGGGACCCACAGGATTTCAGAATAACTCCAGCCCCTCTGCACGATGAACTGGTGTGAAACAGCAACTCTTCAGGTCGCTGCCTCTGGGAAGGGCAGCGGACTACATTAATGTCTTCTTCTCTGGACAAAAAATGTTGGCCCTTATTCCCATGGACACACCCAGGAGG